CAATGGAATACTACTCAGCAATAAAAAATCACAAAGTATTAATATACATACAAATCGATGAACGTCAAAATGATTATTGAGCAAAATAAGGCACACAAAAAAGAGTACATTTATAGAAAATTACTAGAAAATGCAGACTAATCTACAGTCACAGAAAGCAAATAGAGGCTGCTTGTGAATGAGACCTGAAGGGAAAGGCAGGAAGGAGGAATTATAAAGAAGTATAAGAGGCAGTGGTGCGTCTCGTGGATGCGAATGTCACTTGCAGTCAGACAGCGCGGTCAGCACAGCGCACCTTAGCAGCTGCAACAGCAGAGAGGCACCCCTGCTGTCACAGCCCCTGTGCTGTGCAGCCACCCTCTCCCCCTGTGCTCTTCGTCCCTTCGTTTGCAACATGGCTGATCAGCTGACCGAAGAACAGATTGCTGAATTCAAGGAAGCTTTCTCCCTATTTGATGAAGATGGAGACAGCACCATCACAACAAAGGAACTTGAAACTGTCATGAGGTCACTGGGTCAGAACCCAACAGAAGCCGCATTGCAGGATATGATCGACGAGGTGGACACTGATGGTAATGGCACCACTGACTTCCCCGAATTTTTGGCTATGATGACTAGAAAAATGAAAGGTACAGACAGCAAAGAAGAAATCCATGAGGCGTTCGAAGTGACAAGGATGGCAGTGGTTACATCAGTGCAACAGAACTACCTCACGTCATGACAAACTTAGGAGAAAAACTAACAGATGAAGAAGTCGATGAAATGATCAGAAATGCAGATATTGATGGAGATGGACAAGTCAACTATGAAGAAGTCATACAGATGATGACTGCAAAATGAAGACCTACTTTCAACTCCTTTTCCCGCCTCCAGAAAAATCAAATTGAATCTTTTACTTACCTCTTGCAAAAAAAAGAAAAAGTTCATTTATTCATTGTGTTTCTATATAGCAAAACTGAATGTCAAAAGTACCGTCTGTCCACACGCACAAAATCTGCATGTATTGGTTGGTGGTCTTGTCCCCTAAAGATCAAACTACACATCAGTTTTACAATATAAATACTTGTACTACCAGGACTCCTTAAAGTTCCATTTGCTAATGATTAATACACTGTTTGGGCTGGCCAGTTTTTCATGCGTGCAGCTTGACGATCGAGCACAGTCAGGCATTTGTATTAAAAATGAAAAATGAAAAAACAAATTGAAAACCTATTCAAATGGGTTCTAGGTCAATTTGTTTAGTATGAATTGTCATAGCTGGTTTACTGAAAATGGACACATTTAAAATTGGTTTACCTCAGGATGACATGCAGACAAATGAGTGAAGGATAAACTGTTGAGACCATAGCCCCACTGGTAGGATGGTCCTCTTGTACTTTCGTGTGCTCTGACCCACGGTGATGGCGACACACCCTGAGGAGGCATGCCCGAGTATGCTGGTTTAGCGTTGTCTGCATGGTACTAGAGTGAAATGGGCGTTAGGCTGTCACTGTTCACACAAATTTTTAATAAGAAACCTTTACCAAGGAGCATCTTTGGACTCTCTGTTTTTAAACCTTCTGAACCATGACTTAGAGTCGGCAGAGTAGGCTGTGGCTGTGGACGTCACACTCGTCAACATTGCTGTTCAAGAAATTACAATTTCTGTCCATTCCACCTTGTAAGTGCTAGTTTTATTTTTTTCCAATAAAGACCATTGACTTAAAAAAAAAAAGAAGTATAAGGAAATTTTGGGGGTGATGAATATGTTCATTTTCTTGATTGTGGTGATGGTTCCATAGATTTATACATATCAAAACTTGTTAAATTGTGCACTTTAAACATGCACAAATTATAATATGTCAATTATACCTCAATAAAAACTGTTTTAAAAAATAAAACAGATATTAGAGTTATTTAGGAGAAGAATTTAATAAGTCTGTTAATTGATTAGATATGAATGATAAGGAGAAAGTCAGGATAACTTTCTAGTAGATTGGGTGAGGGTCATATAATACCACCAAATAAGATAAGTAATACAGATCTGGGAGTAGAAAGATAATCATTTCCTTTTTGTTTTGGAGTATATTAAGTTTGAAGTACTGAAGGAAAATACAGATGATCATGTCTCACCTGTTGAATGTGGATTTTTAGGCAAAGTCAGGTCCAGGTATACATATTTTTGAGTCATCAATATATTGTAAGTAGATATAAACGTGAGTTTACCCAGATGGCTAAAACCTGAGAGGTGGGCAAAGGAAGGGACATTAAGGAACATAAATATTTCAGAAGTGTTGTTCAAAAAATAGGTCTCAGGAAAGGAGATTGAGAATGAGAGGTAGGAGAAGCCAGAAAACTTAGCATTATGGAAGCCAAAAGAAGAAATTTCCTAAAAGAAGGAAATGCTAACAGCACCAAAAACTGCATAAGTATAGATTAAGATAAGAACTAAAAGGACTCCATCAAGTTTGGATATAGGGAGGTCTCTGAGGACTTTAGCAAGATCAGAGTTCACAGAGTAGTGGGATGGGAATTTGAAATAAGATTCCAGCAATGAGGGGCACCTCTCCTGTTCAGTGATCAAATTGGTTGTTTTACATGAATTATTCTCAATTAGTTATATGAGAACTTCCCCTTGGAATTCAAATACAATCCTTCAGGAGGGCATCCCACGGTCACTAATAGGAAGTCTGCCATATCCCTCAAGTGCATTGTTGTGAAACAAAGTTGAGAACGATGATTTTGATTTTGAATCAATTAAAAGAGAGAAAAAAAGAATTACCAAAGCAAAAACATTTAGCTTGTAACACCCCAGCATCGATTATAAAATACTTGTTAATCCCGTATTGTGTCTATTATTTAATAAAACCCTTATTTCCTTGCTTACCCATACATGACATCTGAACTCATCAACTCTGAAATTTTGTGTTATATCTTACTTTTCTATTCTGTTAGGAAAAGAAATAGGGCAAGAAACAAAAGCAAGTGTTAGCATTTTATAGTAGAATCTACTTCATTGCTATCACTTACAAAGAATAGAGTGAAGCTCTTCCTTTAGGTCAGTAAAAATATGCCATCCTGCATCTGTCTGCCAGAGTTAACTCTTGGGCCAGTGAATTTCAATTCAATTGTGTTGCTGCTCTTTAATCATTTTTTCTTGGAATTATTTCTCAGAATGCATATATTCACTCAGGGATAAGGAGGAAAACCACCTCCAGTCACTAGCTTGCCTGTGATAGCGAGGCAAAATCTCATTTTCAGATACCATTAAAATACCCACCAGGTCTGCAGAAAGAGTCTATTTTCATGTGCCAGTTAACAGCCCCATATGAAAACATCTTCCCTGATCTAGATTAAAAGGAATGTGTATGAAAAAGTCTTGAAAAAGGTTTACAAATCTATTTTCTTTTAGCCACCAGTCCAGTCAAGGAGATGTATGGTATGAAACTAATTATGTCTATGAAAGTAATTAAATGTATGTATGGAATTAAGGGGCATGAAAGTAATTAAATTTTCAAATCTTAACTTGCTAAATATTTTTAACAGGACAATTATTCCTTTTCAGTGTTTTTGTTGTTTAGTTTTTATAAAAGTCTACTTTGAGAATTTAAGTTGTTAATGGGTTTGGATATTTTTGATTTTGGTCATTTTTTATAAGGCAGTTATGTTTGGTTTTATTGAAGATACATCTTTTTAGAATGGTAGAACTAGAAACTACAACTGAATTTTGGAATTTGATATTTATGTATTTTCTAAAAGACACTAATTTTGAAAGATGATGAGTTAAGGAAAAATAATAATATTTCATGGTCAAATAAATTTGGGAAGTACATCTTGCTCTATGTCCCTCTCTCGGAGAAGTGCATTGCATATTAGCATTGCATATTAGTTGAAAGATCTTGGCAGCCATAAAATTAAGACATACGTTTATCTTTGTTTTACCCAGTGTTTGTCATATTTATTTGAACCAGGAACATACAAGAAACAAGCATTCCAATGAATAAACACAAATTCCTTTATAATCCATTGGTTCAAATGTCCATTTTCAAATCCTTGTTAATTCAGATCCTACATCAGGCAAAGATTTAGAGGCCAAATCTATCTTGTTAAGGAACTAATGTCTCAATACACATCAAGGATGCATATGAAATAGTTAAAGCCTGGGTCTAGACAAATGTTACGGTGAGAAAGCATGAATTCAGAAAGAGCCTAGCTCAACCCTTAAGAAGGGGCTGGGCAGAGAGGAATCAATGAGATAGGAGTTCCCATCTGCTTTCTAAACAAAGCAGTTTAAACTGAGAAGTGCTTCTTCTTTCCTTTTTTCCTTTCTATTTCTGAATTTTTATATTCATCATATTAGAAATACCTTGAAAGACCCAAGAGAAAAGCAATAAGGCATAAGGACTATACCTCTTTCACAGCCCTCAGCGTCCCAGTCTAATATGCAGTTTACAGCGGATTGTAGGTCCCTTCATCTTGCAGAACCAAACATCCCCATCCGTCCACTTCCATGTACAACCATACTGTGCAAAGGAGTAACACTCTGCAGAAGAGCCTAAACCCCAGGAGTTCTGCAGAAAGTGAAATTTACAGAAAGAGCTGCAGATTCAGCATGTTTCTGATGAATTACCTGATTCCTCATTAGATACCCATTCCCCATTAGATATCTATGTTAACATTTAATTATTTATCTTACTTTATTTTCTAACTACTTATCTATGTTACAGAGCACTACATCAAATGGATCTTTGATGTCCATCTTAATTTCTCTATGTTATCTTCATTGGTTTGCCTTTGTTGATATTCAAGCTATTAGTTTCATGCTTTTTTGTGGATAGTTTAATAATGTATTTATTGATGTTATTGTAATTTCTGCAACTATTAAATGGCCAAATACAGTACAAGTGCTTGAGAAAGTCAATGTTAATTTTAAAATTAAATGAAATTTATCTTAACAGTGATGATACAGATGTGGTTGATATTGTTCAAATAAAATGTTACAATTTCTATCTCCTTTACAGCCAACATATCAATTGTAGATATAGATACTAATCAGGAGGAGAACATAGCAACTTCATCTCCTGGAAACAACTTTGGTCTTGACCTGAAAGCAGATGACAAAATATATTTTGGTGGCCTACCAACGCTGAGAAACTTGAGGTAATTTAGAGTATATTTAAAGCTAAGGATTAAGTTTTAATTAAATGACCACTATGCTTACCAGAGTTCTGAAGTTTAATTATAATAGGAATGTCATACAACCTTTAGTTGCAGAAAGGCCTTATCAAAAAAATCATGTTGCATGTTAAAACAACACCAGAATTTAGGAACCAAAGGATTAATTTGACATCTTTGTTGAAGAGATGGATTTGAATCACTGTTTCCCTTATATGCACCTGCAGTAAAGAATTATGAAAGTAATTAAAGGTGGAAGCCAGAGTTGAATGTGGATCTTGTAATTGCTGTTCTCCTTGCACATTCACTGGAGATAATAGCCCTCTGACATTGCTTAGTGTTCTGAAAATTAGTCAGTGTTCCAGGATACTGTGAGGAGAACCTATTTTATTGCTAAGCATTAGGATCATAATGGCATATTGGAGCTTTCCCATATGCCCAATACTAAAACTGTATTAGTTGTTCTCATACCCGTGCCAATATTTTTTTTTAATTTCACATATGCTTTTTAGCTAGCAGGATGGGGGGACATATTTCCTTCATAATTTAGTTGATTCAAAAAATAAAGTAACTAAAAAATGTCAGAAAATATTTCACATGGTGCTTAATTAATCCACTGCTTGTTAGAAAACATAAGAAATAAAGCTTATAGGGTACTTGGTGTTCAATAAACATTAATGGAATTTAATTAGAATGGGATTAATTGATTTAGTTAAACCTTAAGAGTTTATTACAAATACAGACTACCTTGTTTTTAATTTTTTGTTTTGTTTAATTAGTCTGGTAATTTTTAATGGATATAAAAGTCTTGTCTCAATATTATTTCTAGGACTATTTCTAGTCCAAAAAGACAAATTATGTTTGGAAAAATCTCAGAATAGCTGAAAACTATGGTGCTTAGTTATTTCCATATTTCCCAAATGAGTAGTGGAACTTCAGTCTCATGTTATGATAGCTAGCATGCAGGCTAAGATTTCCTCTTCTTCCCAAAACTAAACTCATAGACCATTGTCTAATTGCCAAGCTTTCAAGGGTATGAGTTGACAAGCTTCCTGGTGCAAATAAACTGGCTCTGCATTTGTGTTGGGAATATAGATTTAAAGTGTCATGTCAGAAAAAATCATTACAAATCAAATTTATTTGAATAGTGACATAGTTATTATTGGAAATCCGGTTGTCAGTCATTCAGCAAGTATTTGTTGAGCACTTACTATGTGACAGGCACTGTACTAAATACTGGGATCCAGTTGTTCAAATTTAGTATTTTACTTTGCAAGATCATTAACTATATTCTATTAAGTGAATTAAATATAGCCAAAATAAAGCTAGCCAAACCTAGCTTCATTTATTCAAGTGATGATTTTAATTATCATAAAGTAATTTTTAGGAATTATCTACAAAGGTGTACCTATTAACTTCTTTGAAAAGGGTTTATGTCTTGGCTTGGAGACTATATATTGAATGAATCTTTATCACCAAGATGTTTTTACCTTCACAGTAGAGCATTCCGTAATTACAGTGTAATATTGCTGTAGTATAGCACATTACTTCAAAATAATCTCCAGATATATATTTGTGATTGATAAAGGAACCAAGCATTCATACTTACCTGTTATTTTGCCCATGGGCAGGATCTCCATATGATAGAGTACAAAGGATGTAGTAAACATAAATTATTTTTACATGTATTGTTATGCTCAAGTTCTTTGAAAGACAATATTTATAAGCTACTCATGAATATTACAGAATAGTGACATTCATGTATTTTCCCATTCATTAGATTGATGAAAATAAGTACTTTAAATTCATATTTCAAAACTAAAATTTTCCAAGAGAGCAGTGTGAGCAATGGTCATATCTGGATTTTAATTTCACTGTATTTTAATTTCAAGGACATATATCTGTTTTCTGTTCATCTGTTTTCTATTCTGTCATTGTTTTGCATTCCTTTCCTTTGTAGATCCCTGTAAGATGCTTTTTTTAAAGATTTATGATTAAAGTTTATTGTTTTACTAAATGAAATGCAATTATAAATAAATTGTTTTTGTTTTTGTTTTCTCTTTCCTTTGACCTAGTATGAAAGCAAGGTAAAATTTAAATTTATGCATGCCTTCTTCAAGTGCATGGGTTCAGCAAATGTGGCTTCTTAGATAAAGCAGCCATGCAGACGCAGAGTGCCACCCATGCAGCTTTGTTCATAGTACATTTCACGAGCAAGCTATGCCTTCTGAGAGTTTCCATGCTGCTCTCGCTTATGAAGATGCTGCTGCTTATCCACTCTCAGTCGAGCTGCAATTTGAGTTATCTCACCAGCAGTGATGATAGATTTGCTCTGCTTACTTGTCCCACCACCTGCGCACAGCACCCCTGGTGACCAGCAGCACACACTCAAAGGGCAGCTGGGCAAGATTTTGGGCACAGTCTAGTCTGTTGGGTTGAACCCTAGTACCATGCTGTCTGCTGAACGATCAACCCATGCTCTCGAACGCTTACCACTGCCTTGTTGCTTTTTGCAGCCTGAAAATATGCAAACATTTACATGGCCTTTGCACGTCTCATCAAATCTGCTTATTTATTGCCATGTTTATTTAAAATTAGCTATGGAGCCAGATGAAAGGAATCTCTGGAAATACTATATTTAAAACAAGTGTTTTTGTTAAAGGTGAAGAAGTTTGCTAGATTCCCTAGCTTCTCAGGAACACTTTAATTCTCACTTGAAGACAGGCATTAGCATGAAAGCTATGAGTGGCAAGCCTCAGTAAATGGCTCATCAAATCCCAGAGATGTGCAGATCTGCATACTCTGGCTAGAACTAAAGCCTGGTGTTTTGGCATTCCAGAGCCTAACTATGCCAAATTTCTTGGAAAGAAGGTAATGAGGCTGAACTGATCCAAGAAATTTCTAAAGCAAAGGCTAGATTTTCAATATCAGAAACTAGAATACATAGAAATGAAAGTGGAGGAAAAACAAACCACATTGTTTTATCATGATACAGTTATGAGACCAGTCGTACTATGTTTGTTGAGATGGCTAAAAGGCAAAGAATGGCTTTCATGGAAATATATGATAATGAAGCTGAGATGTCACTGTGTAACTTAGTAATTTAGCCTTTGAGTGTTGACCCTCAAAAAACAGACCCATGGTTACCACTAGGAGTCCAGTCACTGGATGTGAGTATTTATCCCCTGTGATTTTCATAATGCTGAGCTTGCTAAATCGTTATATTTTGAAATGATTCTTTGCAATTTCATGAACAATGAGCTATATAATTTGTAGGAGTGATTTACTTTATTGACAGGACCTCTGAAAAAAATATGATAAATCTATCTTCCCCTAAAGCAGGGGTCCCCAACCTATGGCGAGTTGTATAATTATTTCGTTATATATTGCAATGTAATAATAATAGAAATAAAGTACACACTAAATGTAATGTGCCTGAATCATCCTGAAACCATTCCCCACTCCCTGGTCCGTGGAAAGATTGTCTTCCAGGAAAACGGTCCCTGGTGCCAAAAAGGTTGGGGACCACTGCCCTAAAGGAAAATATGGAAGCAAGTGAACACTGAGAATGAAATTCACCATTCTCTTTGCTTTATACAAAAACAAAATATAAGCAAGATCCTCAGCCTCCAGTTAGGCATGTTCTTTATAATAACCAGCTGACTGAACATAAGGAAGACCTTGGGAACAAGGGAAAATTATCAGTGAAACTAAAGAAGTTCCGTAAAGAGAAAGAGAGAAGGGGGAAAAAAAAAGGAACAAATACCTGACATGAAATAAATCACCTTATACACACTGCCAGGGTCTAATTTGGTTTCCCACCTGTTTTTCCTCATGCCATGTGTTTTTCATTAAGATAAAAAAGGGAAACTTGGCATCATGCGACAATGAGGAGAGAATTAATCATTACCCTATCAAGTAGAATATTTTGATGTTGATTGGACAGTTTTTACAGATGCTTATTAACATCACACAAAGAAAAATTACCTTTTTATTCCTATATACTTTCACTGTTCGATATAGTAGCCGGTATGTAGTTTGATATAATCCAGTAGTTCAATATATAGTGCGATATAATTCAAATGTAAGTTAAATACAATTAAATAACAATAAATATGCAGTTTCTCATTGGGACAAGCAACATTTCAAGTCTCAATAGCCATTTATAGCTAGCAACTACTGATTTGGACAGTGCAGAGCAGAACTTATCTATCATCATGGGAAGTTCTATTGGACAGCACTATTATAGCTAAAGAAGTAGCATCATCTTTAGCAACCTGCTAGCTCATGTTTATTGAGCACTTACTGTGTGCTATGGTATTCACTAAATTATCCAAACATTGCAACTTGATAATGTAGATACTGTTGTTATCATGCCCATATAAGGACGCTGAGTCTTTGAGAAGTCAGATCACTTGCGTAACATTATATAACAAACCACAGCAACATCTGGACTCAAGAACAAGATCTTCACTTTCTAATCTGCTGGCATGTTTGCCCCATTTTAAGAAGTAGTGAGCAAAAAGTAAACATTCAAGCATAGTTTGGGTATAAAAGCCATTTTTCAATCTTATTGGAAAAATGAAATGCATGTTTTTTGCATTTGGTTGCTTTATTTTGTTATCATTCCAATATAGAATACAGACTTCGGTGTCAATCTATAAAGCCAATTTAAAATATTTGTTTTTAGACAATGTAATCCAAAAGAATGTTCATTGGGGTTTGTTTGTACTTAAAAGCTTTAAAGATATATATATATATATATTATCTTATTCTTCAGGTGCCCCCAAAAAAACATATAAATGAAAGAAATATTTTCTTTTCAAAATAAGCATTTCCAGATATTTTTTTCTAAATCTTGAGCAAGATTTTTAAAAACTTTTTTTAATATGTAGTTTGATTATGCTGCCTACACAATTACCTGCTGTTTGGTGGAAAAAAGAAACACTTACTTCATTATGCATATGAAGTGTTAATAAGAAGTCAGTTAATTCCTGTACCTTGTGCTTAAATACTGTGGGTGAGATTATTTTTAAAGAGGAGAAGAACTATATAAAGACTCCTGCTGCTGGATGATGTTAACATCCACTTAGTCCAACCAGTAGATAATGGAAAGCAGAGTTTGCTGGGTACATGTGTGCACAGTTTGATGTCTGTGATGTACCTGCTTATGTGTCTGCTCCATATGGCTTCTTCCCAGTAGTCAGAGAGTACACTGCCATCACCCTAATGATACTGCTTTTGTTCTCCATTTGACTATTCAATAGGCCAGAAGTAAACTTGAAGAAATATTCCGGCTGTCTCAAAGATATTGAAATTTCAAGAACTCCATACAATATACTCAGTAGCCCTGATTATGTTGGTGTTACCAAAGGATGCTCCCTGGAGGTTAGTCTGTTTCTAATGGTTCCCTAAACACATTTATATCAGATTTCACTTACATAACGTGGATGCTCTTATGGGGATTAGTCTTTTGTTAATATATTTTAGATTTCTACTGACCCTAGTCTTAGCTAAGCATGAATGATAAAACAAGACTGAAGCATTCTATAAATTACAATGATGGAAAAGATATTATGAAGACCCAAAATTATGATCCACCTTCCCACACGTATAGCCCTTCATAGCACGTATCTTTAATATTAATCTCTTTTCTGTTTCTCTCTTCCTTTCCAACACTACTTTTCCCTTTTCTTCATTTTTGTCATCTACTTTAAATTTATTTTACCATTAGTATTGTATATAGATTTATTAACAACCTTATTTTTTTTCTGGAATGTGTTGGAGTTTACACAAATAGCAAGGAGTAATTTACACCGTAACACTAG